CAGGTCCTAGTACGTGATTGGAGGTTTAGGAGCAAGTTTCGGGTCGATTGGACGAAAGTTGGACGTCTGGCGAGAAGCTGAGGAATCCACACGGTCGTGTGGCGTGGCCGTGTGGAATCCCATTACGTGGGCAAGGCCACACTGGCCGTGTATTGGGCCCCTATGACCGTGTGGAATTTCCAGAGAGCTCACACGGGCAAGCCAGCTTTCCACACGGCCGTGCAGCTTTGGCCGTGTAGCAATCATGGAGGCACTTAATTGGAACGTTGCGTTTTGGCTTTCACACGGGCAGACTGGGAATCCACACGGTCGTGTGGCCTGGCCGTGTGGTCGGGAAATTATGGGTTTTAACCCAATTTCGAGCCAAAGCAAAGGGAATCAATTTTCTGGAGCAAAAACAAAGCCTTAGAGAGAGAAAGTGCAAAGAACACCCCCTAAGAGTGATTTTGGAGCTGGGTTTCATCAATCAAGCTTGGAAATCATCCTTGGAGTGTAGATCATCATCCCAGAGCATATTCTTCCCATATTGATGAGTATGACTGCTTTGTTTGATGTTTTCCTCTCTCTATGGAGTAGAACCCTCTCTCACTTGGGTATGAAGAACCCTAGTTCTATGTGTTAGGGATCATTGTTGTAACGATGTTTGGATTGTGATATTGTTTGATTATAATCAATTGAAGTGTTTTGATTTAGTCAATTAAAGCCTGATCATCTTTTATTGATTTGTGCTGCAACCTGAGATAGAGAGAATCTGATTAGGTTGTTAGAGTTTCTTCAATCGGTAGTAGTGAATCGATTATACGAGAGTTAGTCGATTTACTGCTTTGTACTGGAATTTAGTTCCAGTAGTGGAGTTCTGTGCTCATAGCCTCAGCTTTCTATCCCGGTGAAGAGTAGTCGTCTGCCGGGTAGTTTGACTGAGAGGGCTTGGTCAGCTTAAGAGATTCCAAGCTACTGTCGGATCTTCCGCAGTATAATCAACAGTAAAGCAATCAAAATTAATTACAACTATGACCTAACTAAGAAGATAGGGGGACTCATTCCCGAGTGACTCTTCCCTTGCTTTAGAAAACCGAACAATTTCCTGCTTTCTTACTGCTTTTAGTTAAAATCACATTCACTCAACTTAGTTTGCTAGATAATAAATAATCACGGAGTAGGCAGTAGATCTAGGCCCCGGGTTGACAATTAGAGCTTGCCACTTACTGCATTTCCAGACTGCGATTACACTTGGTCGCAGTTTGGTGTTGTGTTTTAGCGTGTCAATATGCTCATCTCCCTCATTGTCTGCCTTCACCTACTTCAGTACACTTCCATGCTCTTCAATACCCTCTCCATTTTCATTAATATCATCATCATCTCTAACTTCTCTCTCTTCAACTCCTCGAGTTTTGCTTCTGTGTCTTTCAATACACTCTTTAATTCGATCACTCCCCTCAGCAACTCCCTCTTCTCTGCCTTAACCTGTTGCAGTTGATTTTTTCTTCCCCCACCACTTCCATTCTCAATCTCAACTCTTCTACTCCAAGTTCAACACTCCAAACTCCTAGAGTGTTGCATGAAAGCTAATTTCTAACTAATTCTAAACAATATCAAAATTTGATTAGTGAGTTGGACCATAAGAATAAAAATTAATGAGGGAAATTATGGTTGCGGAGAACATTAGTTATGACAAAATCAAACATCAGCAAAAATATTGTAATTGAAAAGAAACCTTTTTTCTAATTTTTGTTTTATATTATTATTTCAATAGGTAAGCAAATAACCAAATAAAGTATAGGACCAAAACAACCAAAAAAGTAGACAGGGCGCTAGGAAAGTACAACAACCCCTGTTCTACACAAACATCTCCTTTGATTTCAAACAAATATAGTACCCAAACCATCGTTCAAATTCATTTCCTATATTTTATAAATCATTCATAAACAACAAACTCAAATAAATCGGGAAGGAAATAATATCCTACCAGTTCAAGTCGATGAACCTTATACAAAGATACAAAATCATTGAAGTTGAAATCTAATAACAGAAAGAGGAGAAATGAAGCAGGAGATCCACCGAGCTTTAAACATAGTATCAGGCAATAAGATCAAAATAAATAGATATTATGCATGTCCTGCTCATGAGAAAACGCGAAAATAAAAGTCGTTTTGTTATTAATCAGAAAGATAAAACCATGAGACATAGAGAAGAAATGAATGACTTACATGTGCAAAGCGATTAACCTTGGCCGAAGACCGAAAACCTATTTAAGGTCAATGCCTGGTATAGGAAGAGGAGCAAAGGCAAATAATATAACTTATCAAGCATTGTCTTCAACAATAGAAGCAGCAAAATAGTTCTTCTGGTAGTACATCGGGGAGAGACAGAATCATTGGGTGATGTCAGTGCAGAGGAATCAAACGAGATAATCAAGGTCAAACCGTAACTACTTGATTGAACTCCATTCTATTCGCCATGGATTGATATGAGAGTTGAAATCTACTACTTGCCCAGCTTAAATCCCCAAGAATAAAACTGCAATGCCAAGAGATACTAGAATACTGATTTTCAAATGCGCCCTTATACTTGGAACTGAAAGTAAACAAACTATTGCACGATGGCGGGAATTTCGAAGAAAATTAGAAAGAGATAAGAACAAAGATAAAAAAAATACAAAATTTAAATTTATGTTGAAAAATGAAAGAACACAACGCGTAGTAAAGGAAATAGTTTCTTCCATGTTAGCCAATTACCAATTTACCTTTAGCGAAAATTAAGGAGAGATCATGAATTTTAAAATGGATAATATTACATGAAACTCTACTATGAAAATTGAAGTATTAAGCACCATGAAAATACATATGGTAGACTTAGTGCGCTTGTTAATCATGATGGAAAAGTACTATGCTTTTCACAGTTTAATACATGTATGTTTTATATTAAAAAAGGAACAACAAATATATTTAGTATAATTGGTTGTGACTGCTATATTTGTTTGAAGAGATCCGGGTTCGAGTCTTGATATTGATATTTTTATATGAAATAATTAATTAATTGTAAAGACAAAAATGTCCTTACTACTTTCAATCTGGTCACTCTAGTTGTAGGAAATTTGAAATGGAGGATGACAACTGCACAGTTTATGAAACCACGTAACATCAATTCACTGAACTGCAAGACATTTCGACGAGATACAGATGAAGATGAATGATGATTCTCACCTGAGTGGGTGGCCTACCCTAGCTAGCTTCGACCTGATGATGTATATAGATGAATAGTTCGAACCAAGATATGGTGCACCACTTGGATACTGGAGAACGATTCTCCATCTCCAATCCAATGGTTCATAAAAATGGTCCATTTAATAAATGGTTCAGATTTGTTAGGGAAAGTGGTAGTGGATTATGAGGTCAGCATACTTGTAAATAGTAGGTATAAGTTATAGGACTTTGCTACGGTGACATGCATGTCACGGTGACATGCATTTTTCGATCGACCTTAATAGGATTAGGTCGACCTAATCTGTTGTTTCGTGTAAAAATAGTTTCATGGTGTCTACTTTGGAGATTCATATCTTACAATTGGCTAGATGGAAATGGGAGATTAAAGGCTTGTTTTGAAGCTGAAGTGTCCCTCTACACATTAATGTACTTGGGAGCTCAATAGAAAGTCCAGAAGACCATTTTTGAACCTGACCAAAAGGCTATGCCAAAACTGGGAAACTGCCTGAAAATGGCGAAGTCTGGCAACGTGTTTGTCAAGCCTACTTTGGAGCTCAATTTGAGAAGCATGGATGCGAGTCAAGTCCAGGGACCTCTACCACGTTAAATTACGTATTTTTTTTGTACAAAGCAAGGCATTAGATGAAAGATTGAATATCTTTAAGGCTTCAAACAAAAGGCTCGAAGTTGCTACGAAGGCTGTTTTTCTGGCAGCTTGCTTGTGCTCGAAGTCTGCCAGAAAAACAGCATTTGTAGCAACTTTGACCCTTTTCTTTGAAGCCTTACATATATCCAATCTTTCATCCAATGCCTTGAATTTTTTATAAAAACATACATAATTTAACGTGGTAGAGGCTCTTGGACTCGACTCACATTCATGCTTCTCGAATTGAGCTCCAAAATAGGCTTCACAAACACGTTTCCAGACTTAGCCATTTCCAGGCAGTTTCCAAGTTTTGGCATAGCCTTTTGATGAGGTTCAAAAATGATCTTCTGGACTTCCTATCGCGCTCTCAATCACTTCAATATGTAGAGGGATACTCCAGCTTCAAAACAAGTCATTAGTCTTCAATTTCCAACTAGTCAATTGTATGATATGAATATCCAAAGTAGGCACCATGAATTGTTTTTACACTGAAACAACATATTAGGTCGACCTGATCCTATATGAGGTCGACCGAATTCTAAATGAGGTCGACCTAATCCTAACTGAGGTCGACCGAAAAGTGCAAGTCACCATGACATGCATGTCACCGTAGGCACACCCAGTTATATTTTGTTCAAAATAAATGGCCTACATGTCAGCTACTTTTTCAGTTCGTGGTCCCATAATCCACTATTTATTACTCTAATATATTTGAGTCTTTAATTTAAAAGAACATTTTTGTGGGTCGTTGGATAGAATGGAGAACCGTTCTCCAATATCCAAGTGGTGCACCATATCCTGATTCAAATAGTTCCTATTCTTACGCGTTTTCTTCCTTCTCCTTTTCGGCTATTCTTACACGTTTTCTTCCTTCTCCTTTTCGGCTACTGTGTGGATGTTCTAACTTGAGACTCACACTTGACATAAATTGAACTGTAATTATATTGAAAATATACAACACATATACTTTTGTTATAAACGCGCTGCTACGGATCGGGAAATCGCAGGAATCGATAAAGCAAGAATACGAAAGCGAGAATCGAAAACACGACACACGATTTACGTGGTTCACTCACACGATGTGTGTTAGCTACGTCCATGGGCGAGAGAGAGCCAGTTTCACAATATCAAGGAGATTACAGATTACAGAGGAGTATGAGAAGTATTTATAGTACTTCTCCATGTGGGTCTAAACCTAATCCAATCTAGCAAAGGAAACTGTTACAGACCCCCGATTACCAGTCGTAGCGGCTGATAGTCCGATTCAAGTCACATCAACAAATCTCCACCCTGACTTGAATCCTCTTCCTCTGAAATCTTTGATGTACTCTGCTCCTTCTCTCTCTCTCTCTCTCCCGCCATCAATGCCCCGCAAGGCGGAGTCACCCACTCAAAACATTCAGCAAGTCCAAGCAGTGTTGGAACTTGCCATGTGGAACCGGCTTCGTGAACATATCAGCAGGATTATCCGCGGTGCCAACCTTCTTCACCTTAATCCTCTTCTCTGTCCTCAAGAAATGATACCTCACATCAAGTGCTTAGTCCTCTCATGGTGGACTTGATCCTTGGCCAAGCATATTGCACTCAAACTGTCGCAATATACCACTGCCTGATCATGATGTAGACCAAGATCACCAACCAGTCCCGTCAACCATATTCCCTCCTTAGCAGCTTCTGTCAACGCCATATACTCTGCCTCAGTAGTAGACAATGTCACCGCCGACTGCAAAGTTGCCTTCCAGCTCACTACAGAACTCCCAAGAGTGAATACATAACCGGTCATCGATCTTCTCGTGTCAACATCTCCAGCATAGTCCGAGTCAGAATACCCAGACACCAAGCACTCTGTATCACTTTCGAAGCTAATCCCCACATCAGGTGTACCCTTAAGGTACCGGAAGATCCTCTTCACAGCCTGCCAATGCTCCTTCCCAGGTTGTATCATAAACCTGCTGACAACACTAACAGCATGTGCAAGATCGGGTCTAGTGCATACCATAGCGTACATCAAGCTACCTACTGCACTAGCATATGGGTCAGCGAGACCCCCGATTACCAGTCGTAGCGGCTGATAGTCCGATTCAAGTCACATCAACAACTTTAAATTATTATTGTAGGATGTTTATTTTGGTCAAAGTTCAAGCCATACAAATATATTAAACTAAAAAAAGCTCAAATGATATTTCTTTTCTTCTCCGCGCTATTTACGTACTTTAGCTACTTTATTCATCAAATCCCACCTATGCCGATGCTGCAAAGGTAGGTTGGGGCTTTGGATTCCTCGACGAAAGACAACAAACCTGCATGCAAATTGCAAAAGCAGGGAAGAAAATTAGCAAAGTAAATTAAAAAGGTTATTATTCCCGTCCCTGCATATACTTACACAGTGATGTGGGATGTTATATTGTTATTTATTGCCGCCCACACTACAAACTTCTACAAATTGGGAAGTGGAAGCTGTATCTCTTTCATTTCTCTTACATATTTTTTTTTTTTAAAAAAGAGAAATCTTTGTCAATTTTATTTTGTTGCTTTCAGCTTGGATTGGATTGGATTGGATTGGTCCATACCGATCGGGTGTCGGGTATTCATGACTATTCATGCATGATTAATAATTTATCTTCATAACTCCAACCAACATTCTAATATATACGCACTTATACTAACATTACGACAATAAATCATTCATTATGTCTGCACCTAATATAGTTAGCTTACAACAAATCCTTAACATAAATATTAAATACATACAAATGCTGCTCATTAGGGAGTTAAAGCTCTCCTACAAAACACTTAAAACTATACATAGTTTGATGTGTCTGTCATGGTATTGTACGTAATCCTAAAGTCTAGTAGCTGTCCAAAATATTTTGGTTTAGTAAATAGGCAGACCCATTTAATTTTTGACATAATGCGTTGGTTTGGTTGGTTGCATGGAAGTATAAATAATTTGGGTTAATACCTTAGTTTGGCCCGAACTATACACATATTTTCTATTTTGGCCCGTTGTATTGGAAATTGCTATTCTGGCCTGAACTATGTAGCAAACTTCCTCATTTAGCCTGGAGGCGGATTTGACCGTTAAATCAGACGGTCAAACTTGTTGACCGTTAGTCAATGTCCACCTCACCTGCCACGTCAGCTTTGAGGACATAAAAAATATATTTTTTTATTTCTGATTTTTGTTTTCTTGTCATTTGCTAAAAATGGGCCATTTTTTCGTTCTTTTAATTAATTTTATTTATTTATTATTTTTATTAATCGAAAGAAAACAAAATTCAGAAATAAAAAAAATTATTTTTTATGTCCACAAAGCTGACGTGGCAGGTGAGGTGGACATTGACTAACGGTCAACAGGTTTGACCGTCTAATTTGACGGTCAACAGGTTTGACCGTCTAATTTGATGGTCAAACCCGCCTCCAGGCCAAATGAGGAAGTTTGTTACATAGTTCAGGCCAGAATAGCAATTTCAATACCACAGGCCAAAGTAGAAAGTATGTGTATAGTTCAGGCCAAACTAAGGTATTAACCCAAATAATTTTGTATATTAAGTGTATCATTATTTGGTTACTTGGTTTCATTGGTTAACAATGTTGAAACCAAACCAAATCAAATAAGCTAAATTGTGTAACCAAACCAATTATCCAAATTCACTAAACCAAATTAACCGAATGCTACCAATTAATATGGTTACCACGGTAACCAATCCGTTTGAACACCCCTACCTGCACATGTGTCATGCCCTCTACTCAATCAGTTTGCATGTGGTAAGAGTGTTCCCCTTAGGCAGAAACATGTTTGACATGTGTACAATCACGTGGCGGGAGCAGATGGGCCTAGACGACACATGTCCAGTGAAGTGTCTTTCCTTCATCTCCGCGCCAACACCTGTCCTCCCGTTGTCCCCCCCCCCCCCCCCCCCTCGTAGTTACTATATAACTAGCTCATTCTCTCCAATGAAAGGTAAGGCAAGAGACCGGGGGAAGTACCCTGTGAGCGCCTACTGCAATCAGTGACTCTCACCCCCCCCCCCCCCCCCCGAGCTCACCTCTTGCAAACACCTTGTAAACTACTCAATCCCACACACTAAGGACTAACTTGAGCGTCGGAGGGTGCCCCCGCCGAGATCGGCCGGCAGGCTCTTTTTTGCAGGAAGCGATCAGAGGCAACGTCAAAAAAGAAGATTACTATAAACTGGGCACTTCAAATCGCTTTGGGGCCCAAGATTGAGGAAGTCGATGTCGGTTACAACCTCGGCATAAACTGAACCTAATGTTGATCCTAACCATCTTATGTGATTTTATAATCTTAACTACTAACCAAATTAAATGATTTCTACGAGTTTTCATGTTGCTTATTTGTGTGTTTTTGTAATGTACAAGAATAAATCTATGCATTTATTGGTGTTTATTTGGCAAACAAACTTATATTGGGAAGTAATTAGGTCATATGTGGTTGACTGTTATTCATGATATAGATTGTTATTACTATATGGTGTTTAAAGTGTTCATTATTGTATGAACTTTAAAAACTTACGATTTTACGATTTTAATCTACGATTCCGATTTTACCTCACTTTTCGATTTTATGTAAAATCTCGATTTTGACTGCATTGACTAGGGGAAACTACTCGAACAACTCGTTCGTTGCTTACAGAGCTTGAAAAAGGTACAGAAGCCTTTCGATTCCTTCTTATTTTATTTCTATGTTGGAAGCTTTTCTTTAGAGAAAGTCAAATTAATTGAATGAACCGCCGAGAAAAAAAGCTCGCCATGGATGAGAAGTGGAATTTGAGATTAGGTTACATGTGTTCTGCTGTTTATGATGAGATTTGGAACTTTGTTTGACTTGAGTTGCTTTAGTACCCAAATGTGGATCGAATGAGATGTTGAACTTGATCATTAGAACTTGGATTTTTTTACTTCCTGAGCTGAATCGATGGTTCATCATATGCATGACTGAGTTTGGAGGTTAATTAGGGGTCTGTGAGTATATGTTTATATTTTAGAATTGTAACGAGGATGGAACTTGAGAATTGTTTCCAGATGTAGGGGCTTGTGAGTTTATGCTTAGATTATATGTTCTTGCCTCTGCCTTGTTTAGCAACTTTAAAAGAAGCAATTTTTCCTTTAAAAAAAGCAATTTTATTGTTTGTTCCTATAGCAGCACATAGCAATCCTGAAAGAAATGATTGTTATGTCTACCAGAGGAGGCGCTGCTGTTTTTGCATCTAATGCAAAGCAATTGAAAAATAAAAGGAATCTCAAGGGTAGAAATGATTCGGCTTGTCTATATGGTATTGGTGTTGATGACGATAGAAAGAAGTTCAAATGTAATTTTTGCTCGAAGATATTCGTTTGTGATGTCTTTTGTTTTTAACATCATCTTGCAGGAACAAGGGAGAATGTAGGACCATGTGTAAGTGTTGCTAATGATGTGAAACAACAAATGTTGGTATTGACTAGTGAAAGTGATTAGAATTTACAAGTTGTTGATGTAAATAAGAAATGAAACATAATCAATGTAGCTTAAAATTATTATTTTAAGTGTTATTGGTCTTTGTCTTATTCATGATTTTTCTTTTTAACATTATTTAGCGTTAATTTTTATATGGACCTCAAAATCCTACCATTTTACGATTCGATTTTACCCTAGTTTTTAATTTTACGTAAAATCCTTACTCTGACTGCATTGCTCGTTGTTAGTGCCAAAGCCGCCTTCATCCTCATCATTAAGCTCCATATCCTCAAAAAACTAGATCTCGCCTTCAGATGATGGTGATAGGGGAAATGCTTTCTGTACCGTTCGAAGGTCGATCTTCATCTCCTTCATAATCATATGAACAGGTAGATCAACGTCGACAACATGCCTTCTAGCATTCCTTTCACGCTTGAGAAAGAATCGAAACTCCCATTGATTGTATAGAAGTTGAGTGTTCTGCTCGAGAAGTTTAGCATTTTGCTCAATGAGGGTAGCTAGATGAGATGCATGGGTACCGGAAGAGGATCCTCCTTCAATTGCAGTTGCTCTTGGTTGACTATCTTGAGGTTTCAGGCAAAGTAAACGTGGCACTATTCCCTTTATTCTCTTTCGGCCCCAACTACTTCTATAAGCTTCATGTTGGAAAGATGGTCTTCATTTAATAGTTGGGTAGACCTCATGACTGTGCAGTTACTAGCTTCCAAGTCGATCCCAAAATGCATTGCGAGCCTAGTGACAAAGACTCATACATGGAAGGTCTTGACCCTGAAGTTTGTAACATTCTAGTAGAGTATCCTAATGATGACCAACCCAAGATGGAGGCGAGGCTTAACAAACATCTATCCGAGAGAAGATACAAATATATATTTGTTAATTTTCTAGCACTCTTCTCCTTTGAAGCAACCTTGTGGAGAGGACATTGTAAATGATCCTCCATTCCAACTTGAGGGAAGTGCTAAAGTCGGAAGTGATTTTGGTGGTTGCTGGATCGAAATGCGCTTGATGGTCCTCATTCCGCAGCTGGTTGGTGAAGAAATTCTCAAGATGGTTGCAAGTAGCAAGATCCTCGTCTTGCAAAGCCCGACCTTCTGGAGTATTCAAGAATGCAAAAGAATATATCCACATTGTTTCGGTGAACTCATTGAAACTCATTGTTCTTGGCTCCCCTCCAAGTGAGAATGTGATAGTGATGGAAAAATCATGATTGATAACGAGGATTGAATAACTTAACCGCTGAGAGAAACTCAAGAAGAGGATCAACACAAATCTTATTATTGGTGGTTAATAGGTTTAGCGATGTCGGGTCTCGAATGAGCGATTGAATTAGAGTAGAAGCTCCCAATTCATCAAGTAGTTCTCATTCAAAGCGACGATATTCTCCATAAGTTCTAGAGGAAAAGCAAGCATAATCCGCCTTTTCTTTTTCGTCAAACTTATAGTAAGGATGAGGGGCCCTTTGTCCACCTTTAAGACTAACTCCAACTCTAGAGCTAAAAAGTCATTTACCTATTTTTTGCTCTTTTGTTATGCTTCAACCCACACAGTTCTGGGAAGCTCAAAATGGGTATTGATGAATGGGTAAATGGTGAAAATGGGCGGAAGTGCCAAATTTCGCTGGAGAAAATGGTGGACCCACCACTGGGGCGAGCCACACGTGCGGGAGGGGAAGGCTTTCCCTTGCACATGTGCGACCCAGCCCCCGCACGGAGTGTGGCTTACCCCAACGGCAAATGCTCTTTTATTGTTTTTATGTGGTATTTTCTCATTGGTTGATTGTGTATGATGTTTGTTTAATTGTTTCAAAGAAGATATTATATGTTATTTTAATTGGTATTTTTTTCATGAGTCTCGAAGTTAACGGTAACAAATTAACGACTAATTTTCTAGAAAAAAACATTTGTCTCGAAATTCAAAAAATTACATTTCTTTTTTTCAAAATTAATAACGAACTATAAAAAAAATAAAGTGAAAGATAAAAATTAGTGGCCAAATAAATATGGTTTATTGAAATAAATTGAAAAGGAAGGTGGGAAGCTAAATTTAGATTTTTGTAGGGTTGGAGTGAAAATGAGGTTTGGAAAGCTAAAATTCATATTTGGCTATTTGGGAAGCTAAATTTGGCTTTGTGGGTTGAAATTAGTTTAAGTGAGGTAGATGACTTCGCAATTTTCTTGGTTATAACCATCCTGTAAAGAAGGCTAAGTACAAATTAAAGACTTTTCTATATAAGTCGAGGCTCCTACTCTTGGACTTAAACAATTAGAAACGCAGCAAAGATCGATCAGTAACCCAACAAACACAAAACGGGAAACAACTCAGACCTATACAACGGCTGGGAGTAGGGTCAAGTATATGATGTGACTCCACAACTAGGGTGATTGACTTATTGATAACATCGACATCTCTTTGTTGGCTCGATTCCATGAACGAACAAGAAAGAAAACAAGATTTCAATGTTGAACACTCAAAAACTAGGGTTTATAATTGATAATAATGTGTCCAACCCATAGGAAAATTATACTCTATTTATAAGGTTACAAAATAATATTCTATCCTTAAATAACTCAAAAATTCAACTCCTAGAAGCTAAGGAAATCAAAAGGAAAAGTAAATCCTTCAAGAATCCACCCAAAAGGTTCGATTCACACCTTGTGTTCACACCAAGGGTGACTTAATCTTCTAACAAGTTCCTTCCTTCCTTCTTCCGAGTTGGGCTCTTCATCTTGGACGTGAATGATGGTGATTTCTTGGCCCACGAACAACACGGGCTCCAATGATGCGAAACTCTTAGCCAAATAAGCTTGTAGTTGTGTTTTGAACGCTTTGGTTTGACTTCGAGTAATTGGACCTTAACTTTGAGCAGCCTCCTCACGCACCAATGTTGGGCTCGTAATGGCTTTGGTGTTGATTCCCTCACACTTTTGGTTAACCAAAATGATAAATATGAATATCAAAATCATATCAAGAAGAAGCTTTGAGCCTCTAATGTGGGTGGCAATAATGAAAAGAGCATGCTAGCTAGCAACTCAACACACGAATCTGGCTCACAGGCATGCAATGCAAACATTTAGTTCTCTTTAACATTTCATCGAACACCGTGCAAGCATGAAGATAAAGCATGAATTCGCGATAGATTGGTTATAACCGCTCTACCCATTAAATTAGATTATTCCAATCATATCAAACAAAACAAAGCAAAGAAATTGACGAAATATACTGATGATCATCCATAAATGAAAAGTACATAATACCATGGCAAAAGAGATTGTCAAGAAAAATGGTCTCCAGCCTCTTCTGAAAAGTTGGGTTAAACTTGTTAACCTCTATTGTTGAGTAATTAAGGATGAAGAACGAATGATTTCCCCTCCTAATGCATGAACCATTTTCTTGAATGGTATGGCAAGGTTTAGAGAAGAAGACTTAATGTAGTAATGCAATGCACAAAGAAAAATTGCAAGTTAGGGAATAAACAGAAGTGCACAAGCTGATCAAGGATGGGTATTTTAAAACCCAAGCGCAATCAAGATCATGGGCTAGCCCCGCAAGATCGTGATCGGAAACTTGACTACCACAGTTACGAACTTTTGACTTTCCTGACCCTCAACTTCTAAGATTTGTCATACATGAAGGCTATAAGTTGGACTGAGCACCAATTCTATGTCCGTAGCCCTTCACTCTTGCAACTTCAACTTCCTATATAACTTGAGGCTCATCACACTAATGTCTGCAAAGAGGTTGACTATGACTTCCTTAATTGTGACTCGTTGGATAGAACTTGGAATAAAAATAGGCATGGTTCGTCTCTTTTCATTGGAGTTTCGAGCCTAGTAAAGACAGGATAGGCTTTACTGATGTCCGCAATATGGAGTTCGTCAAACTTTCATTTAGTAGGCACCAAGAATTCAATTCGCTCGACATACCCGGAGATCTTGGCGCTTCATCCATGAAAGGAAGAGTAAGTGCTACCTCCTTAGCCACTTCTTCCTTTTTCTTATGGTGAAATTTTACGCTAGGATTGACTTCAATTGGGCTCAACACTACTTTTAACTCACTCCCTGTGGATTTACTCAATACCTGGAAGGTCGCCTCTTGTTGCCCTACTCTGAATTATTGACATCTTTGTTCTTCTCCTTTCTCGGTTATAATCTTCTCCAGAGCTCCAATGGAGGATGATATAGTCTTCAAGTGTACGTCCCTACCTTGTTTTCCTCCTCTAGAGAGTTCACATGGGCGATGAAGGCTTTCACATATCGATCAAAGTCATTCATTCTTTGATGGCAAATCTAGACCCAATCCAAAAACTCGTTCTTCCAAGAGATCAAACCAACGTTTTAACTCTTGGAAAGACCCACAAGGTTCTTCAAAAAGGCTAAGTTGCTGATTTCCTTGAGGTTGAGGGGATGAATTGGTTTCGTTGATCTCCACCGTGTTTAGAGCAAAAGCTTGCTCTACCCGAATTGGCACTTGAACACTTTCCTCTTCTAAAAGTTT